GTCCAGTTTTGGGCTCCACAATTCAAAAAGGATGTGGAGAAGCTTGAGAGATTCCAGAGAAGAGCCACGCGCATGATCAGAGGTCAGGAAAACAGACCTTACAACGAGAGGCTGAGAGCCATGGGGCTCTTTAGCCTGGAAAAGCACAGGCTCAGGGGTGACCTGATGGCCACCTATATGTTTATCAGGGGTGACCACCAGTATCTGGGGGAACGTTTGTTCACCAGAGCACCCCAAGGGATGACGAAGTCGAACAGTTACAAACTACTGCAAGACTGTTTCAGGCTGGACATAAGGAAGAATTTCTTTACTGTCCAAGTCCTCAAGGTCTGGAATAGCCTGCCATTGGAGGTGGTTCAAGCACCTTCATTGAACACCTTCAAGAGAAAATTGGATGCTTATCTTGCTGGGATCCTATGACCCCAGCTGACTTCCTGCCTTTTGAGCGGGGGGCTGGACTCGATGATCTTCCGAGGTCCCTTCCAGCCCTAATGTCTATGAAACCTATGAAATATATGTGATTAATATCCATGAATAAACCCTGGAGCTTATAGCTCCAGGGTTTTTTGCTCCTGGGTGCTTCATTTGAATATGCACTCGAGAGCAAAAAACTCTAGAGCATATTGCTCTGGAATTTATTAGTGCGCAGCATGTCGAGCCCAGTCAGAGAAGCCCAGGCTGGCAGGGGACCCAGAGGTCAGCCTGCCAGCTCAGGGATGCTTTGACCAAGCTCCACATGCTGCGGAGGGGGCTGGCTGAGGCAGTGAATCTTAAGGATGAAAGAGTAATAGCAAATCTGTTCCAGTAAATTTCCATTAATAGACAAGCCCTTATTAACTGTCTACCAAACTTGTATCCCTGTACAAGGGAATCTTTTACGGTTTGTGAAATTAAGGTAATTTCAGTCTGCTGATTAACTGAATCTCTGGTAGTATGATAAAATTTAGCCAGTAGGCAACTGAATACTGTGTTCCTCAGACTTTTTAAGTGGTACTCTTTCTTACTCAGACCTGATGCTGGATTCCATAGATGGTGAGAGTACCTAGCTCTTAGCACTAATTTTCCAATTAAATATTTTGACAGAAAGTACTGATTTCCCAAATGAATGGAGTTTGATAGCTATGTACCTACAAGATTTAACAAGATTAAATTTCTGAACTCAACAAGAGACTTGAATGCAAGTCTCCCATATCCAAAGTATATGCTCTACTCAGAAAGCTCTTGGTTATTCTGAAGTAGGCAAGTGTCTCTATACGCATTTTTTTCACAAAAAAAAAAAAAGATTTGGTTCTGCCCAAGTGAATATCAGGAAACTTAAAGAAATTCTGAATGTGTGTGGAGTGGAAAAGCCAATTGCTACCCTAGTCTAGTAAAAACAGCCCCAGAACAATTCCTCTTTCCAAAGAAGAAAGTTTTTCAACTATTTTAGTTTGTTTAATGAAAGATATTGGATTTACCCAAAGAACCTTATCTGCCTATGCCCTTAGACTAACAGCCTTGAAAAGAGGGGGACTTTCCTTGAGACAGGATTCAGTTAGATAAGTTTCCTTTATCAGTAAAAGGTAACAGAGTGTGTTTTCAATTTAAACAAAGTAAACTCAAACAACAAGGAAGCTAAATTCTGGTGAAAGTAGTTTGACAAAGGAACTTAGACCTTTGTTATAGCTCTGCCAGAAGGAAATAGGAAAGTCATCATGCTCCATGCAAAGGAGTTATGCAAAGATGACATGGAGTACTTGTTCTTTGGGGTTTTTTTTCTTGTTTCTTTTTTAAACAGGCACTAAGGTTTATATTTGTAGGTAGAGAATGAGAATCAAAGATGAGGACTTTTTAAAGTAGATATTTCACTTTAAAACAGCAGGAAAGTGTGTGTTCTCCCTCTCCTCCCACCACTTTTTCTTTTTTTTTCCTGGCAGTTTCTTTGAAAGACCCAGAGGACTGCAGACATGAAGCTTTGGAAAGGTTTCAGTTGAATGAAATAGTGCCTTAATCAGCTATGCTTTTTTCTAGCCATTTCTAGGGCATCTGAGTTAAATAGATGTTACAAAACCAAATTACTAGCCCCGTATAACAAATCTGAATAAAAAGCACTTCACTTAAGACAATTCCTCTTCTTCAGCAATTTTAATGTCAAACGTACTAATTCTACAGTCATCCACAAATCTTCCAGGAAAACAATGGAGTAAATGCAATACTTTTCTACTATGCAAGCAAAACAGACTTTTAAAAACACCGTGCCCTGTTTCAAGCAGATAAAATTCAGCTAAAAGAAACCCTAAACCTAATTTTTCACCCCTTTCAAAAATCTCCTTTATGCATTTGGAGTTAAAATCTTGATGCAATGCTAAAAGAAGTAGAATGGTTCATTGGTCTGAGTTAAACATATTTCACCCACGGATTTAACCAAAGACCATAGAAACGTTCAAAGGATCTAGAATTCTAATGAAGAACTTTTACTGAACCAAGTGTATAGAGAAGTTAGCCAAGTTTGGGGACACGAAGAGGCCTTCCTCAGATCTTCTGAGGAATAATGAAAATAAAAGATATCGCTAAGAGCCCCTCACATCTTGTACATCATGGCTATAACAACACTCTAACCCCACTACAAAGAAGAACTTAAAATAAGAAACTAATACCAATCTCAATAGCTGCAGCAGAGTGGTTACTGAAGTCATTTCATTGCATCTAGTTCTTTATACCCAACAATTCAGATTCCGCAAATGTGAGGGGCAAGGATTTTTGTGGGCAGTATCTTTTGTTGAATCAACTGCATGGCTGAGAACAAGCTTTTGAATGTAGTGTATTCTTCTTCAGGTCTGAGGAAAAAAAAAATAGGCACACTGATTCAGCTAATGGTTGTTTTAGTAATGGCCTGTGTCCCAAAGCTTACAATTATACTTGGTGTGGAGAAAAACGGTTTACTTCTCTGTAACAAACCATGTGCTTGAATGGCTCTATATAAATAATAATATTAATAGATATGAGAACTCCAGATAGTAAGATGAGTAATTGCTGCAATTATGTTCTAATGTTATACCTTTATAAAATTTTCTTATTCCAATTTAATTATTTATGGTAAATTGTTTTAATGAAATTGAGAATGAGAATATTAACTTGTTCTATTTGCCAATAAATTAATAACATATGGAACATGGTTAGAAGTGAGCATTTCTGTTAGAAAAAATCTTTTCTTAGAAAGCAGAATTGGCCTCAACTTAGTCATGGCACATGCCTCACTCATGAGATCAGGGTCCAAGTCTTCACTCTGGGCACATCTACACATGCCTATTAAATAAGGAGCAAAAAAACTCAGGTGTTTGTCATACCATATAGTTTATTGCTCCCCAGTGCCACATATACATGTGTGCCCAGAACTACAGCATGTTGAGCTGGGTCAGAGCAGCCCCAGCTGGTAGGGGGCCCTGGAGAGTCAGCCTGCCAGCCCAGGGCTGCTCCAACATGATGTGGAAGGGCCGGCTGGGGCACAAGAGTGCTCAGTGCAGGGCTAGCATGGCAGGCAGTCCACGCACTAAAGCACACTCATACTCCAGCCAGCCGGGTCAGCATGTACATCTGCGCTGATGAACAGAAAAAACTCCACAGCAGGGTAGTCCTTCTAAATACAAGGACTACCCTGCTGTGGAGTTCATTAGTTTCCTGCGGCCTAATAGGGCCGCACATGTAGACACCGAGACATTTACTGCAGAGCTAATTAGGTAGCTCCGTAGCAGAAGTTTTGTGTAGATGTACCCTGTTATAGTCTTTCAGAGTCTGGAAGAGTTATTTACTACCTAGTCCTAATCCTACTGAAGTTAATAGGAGTTTTTCTAAGGATATTTGGATCAGGCCCTTAATGGTTTTGTGTGGCAGATCCTTGTCTTTAAAATAGACTGATAATATTTCCTCTCTTCCTTTCTTCCTGGGTCTTGCCTATTGCACCTGTAAAATCTTCAGGGAAGAGACTGTCTCTTCCCATCTGTTATGCATAACACCTCTCAAAATGAGACTGATCTCAGTGGGTATCATTAAAGCAAATAAAAAGATGTAGGAATGAATAATTTTACTTAAAATATCAGACAACCTAAGTGGGCTTTATTTGTTTGGGAACAGATACTGGAGCTAGGAAGCAGACAGAAGGAAGGTAAGGATAAATAAGATGACCATAAACTAAACATGTCCATAATTGTAATTTTGTTCTTTGATGCAAAAATAAAAGTTTTCTAGCCATCTACAGACCTCACTAAGGCCAAGAGCTGAAATGAACAGCTAAATTAAAAGGCCAGATTTAAAATGCCTGAGGTCTCAATGAACCTTTAGGGTTTCAGTGAAACTGTTCAAAGACTAATACAGTTTTTCAAATTCACAGCTTGTATCCAGCTATAGTAAAGTTAATGACTGAATGCTTTTTGAAGAGTGACATCTAGTGGCATAGTTAGTTATTCAGAATTATCTGGTGACTGCAGGAGAAGAAGTTGGTTCAAAAGGGCTAGGAGTCACATAACTTACCTGCCTAAAGTCATAGGGTTTGGAATCCTGGTATGTGCCAGTCTTATACTTTCCATTCTTTACAAACATTATCTCAGCTTCATATAAGCCCACCTGGGGAAACCTTGTGACAAACATGGGCAATTTCTTCTTCCTTCCCAAAGGAGGGAGGAACTGGCTAGAATATATCATAGATAGCTGCTGGATGGTGTCAGCTTTTGAGCTCTTGCTCTTCTTCAGTTCTTCTTTTTCTTTTTGACATGCCTGAGGTGGTGGTTGGGAAGTTTGATAAAGCTTGTAACTAAAATCAGGAGGCTGCTTTTGCCATGTATCTGAACCGGTTCTGGGAGGTTTCTTAAAACTTTGATTCTGTGCAAAGGCCAAATCCAGGCTTGCAGTAAATTTGATTTTTCTATCAAAGGAGAAGAAGGGATGTTTGCCTTTGTGAAGAATGGTCGCCATTTCTACTTCACGTGGTGCCTGCTAAAGACAATAATTATTTTGACTTAGGTTGAATAGAACATTATTATATTTAAAATAACCAAATGCCTGTATTCATACTTAACTGAAGGTTTTTCCTTAGTACCCTAATTTAGAATAGTAATATAATTGTGTGGCTCAGCTGGGACAAGAGGAAGATGATCTTGTTGTGAAGGGGCTAAACTGTGACTTAGTTCATCTTCTTGCTCATGCAAAGATTCCAAATCATTTTATTCGATACTAGCCAACTGCCCATCAAGAATGACAGGGGACAGGTGGGGGGAAGGGGTAGCTGGGATGCAGGGCCGCCACCTCCCGCCCCATGCTGCTGCTGTTCTGCCTCTTGCAGGGAGTGGGGTGGGGGAGCCGAGGCCAGCAGCCTCAGCTCCCCCATCCTCTGTCTGGTCCTCGGAGTGGCTTCAGAATCATGGCGGTGCCGCCCCAAGCTTAGATTACTCTGATTGGCTGTTTCCATCAGCCAATCAGAGCACGAATAAAGCATTATGGACAGACAGACTTAGGCTTTTATAATATTCAAATAGTTTCTTATATCCTACTCATCACCAGAGCTGTGTTGCCTTGTAGGGGGGCATCAATCTGCAAACTGATCTGAACAAGTAAACACTTAACCTCACAAAGAGCCCCCTTAAAGTTAAGGGCATCAGGATCTGCCTGTTCTTGCCAGCTTGTCAGGACTTTGATCTTTCTGTGCCTTGGTTCACGACATATAAAATGGGGATAGAGAGAGGTAGTTAGCCATGTTAATCTGAAATTAGACAGAGGTCAGGGCAGGGTGGTACCTTAGGCCATTTGTAGACATGCTCACCATTTTTAAAAACATGTTAACTGCTTCATATCACACAGTTTGCATCAAATTTCAATTTGAATTAAGGGTTAATAGATTATTATTGACCATCAGTCCCTTAATAGACTCAATACACAGCATCTGTGTGTTGGCTTATGTGCTTAGCACTTGCGGATGGAAATAATTAGGAGATGATAATAAACCTGTTTAAAGCACTGCTACATTGTTGCACAAGTACCGAAAGTTGTCTAAAGTGCTGTTTGTAGAAACCATAATGGGTGCAATTGACCTGAGTGCAGATGACCATTGGCTGGGGGGGGTAGGAGGGGCGGGGGTGTGGGGGAGACCAGGGAGTTTGCCCCCTTCTTCCAGACCAGTAGTCTGTGTGCTTGGGCACAGCTGGGGGAGTCAGGATAATGATACTTAGTTACTGTGAGGTGTTGTTGGCACATTTGATTCTGTAAAGATGTTATTTTGTGCCTGATAGCCTCCGTTGTGTTTCAAAAACCCAAATTGAGTTTCCCTTGTGAGGACTGATATTTGCAATGCTTATCTGCTACATTCCTAAAAACTGTTTTTCCTAAAAGCAATGCTCTGCGTGTGTGTGTGTGTGTGTGTGTGTGTGTGTGTAAATAAGTAAATAAATAAATACAGTTTAAATTGCTTAATTCAGACTGCCCTAATCTGTACTCATTTTAATCCTCATTCAGTGAGGATTATTAATTCAGACTGGAGCCAATTTTAATTCTGAGCACAAATGTCCATGTGTATATAGCAACTGCTGTAGTCTGGATTATACCTAGGAAAATATAATATCTATAAATGGGTTTAGATACGAACTTGTTCAGAGAGGCATAATGTTTTCCAGGTGCCAGCCTATTCAGTCAGAAGCAAATCCTGGCCCAAGTACACAGTCAAAGTAACCAGCTGTCTGTCCAGTAGACAAAGCTGAAGCATCTAGCTTCAAGCAGTGAGTCTGCAACATGGCTGCTTATTTTGGGAAGGTGGTGGGTAATTTGTTTCAAGATGAGAAACTGGCATAGTTATTCAATGATTTATAAATACTGTACAATGGTTACCAATGTGCTCCTCCCTTTTAGGGACTCCCCAGGCTTTGTATTACAGCCAGGGAGTTTTTAAAGCCTCTTTTTCAAGCTTTAAGTGGGCCAAGGGGAAAATTTGGCATTACAATAAACACCAAAAGAAAAAGATCACACATTTGCTAACCCTGTCAACACTATTATCATCTGCACACTTGACTTTTGTGTCTTAGAAACAGAAGTACCTAAATCCCAGGTGAATACAGGCAGTGACAACAACAGTGCAACTCCAGAGAGGCATTTGACAGAAAAGATTAAAAGACATCACTTACCACTCTCTCAAGTCAGTTCTTTCCGACGAACTTCACACACTGTATTGCATAGCCAGCCTTCTCCTCTGCACGGGGCCAGGAGAAGCTAAGCAAACAGATGAACTTGCAGCACATGTTTATTCCAGAAGCTGTTTATTCTTTTGTTGTACAAAAGAGCTGGAATGTATAATCTGCCCATCTGTGTTGCTAAGAAACAGGATCCTTTTTGCCTCAGGACTTAATTCAGAATTCAAAAATGAAAATAGTGACTCAGTTGGCGGCATAAAGTCAGCTTGAAACCTAGCAACAGGGCCATGGGTTCATTTCTGTTGTTTCAAATGTTAGAAAACAAAGATATTAGAGGGGAAATCTAATTGAGGAAAACAGAACAGCAAGATGAAAGGGAAGGAGAGCTGTTGTATTTCAGGTTCTGCTAAACCATGGGATTTTGCTAAACTCACTTTCATGACTTGAAGGGCCTTGTTTGCTGTTTGTCAATTTGTCCTGAATACAAATTGTCTGTAAATCAAAGTGGCAGCATTATACACCAACTTAATATTCTCCTTGTATTATATGGCATAGCACAGCAAAATCATTTGCATTTCAGTTTGTAAATAGTCTGTTGCCAGAGTCATTTACTGCTGGGTGCACACCCCTTAATATAAGTTCTCTAAAACACGCATGGATTTTAGAACTTCAGGGGAAAAAATAATCTTACGCACACATTTACAGAGCATTTGTACATGTGCTTTTACAAGTGAGGCGGGGATGTATGAGACAGCCTATGAAGAAGTGTAAAATTAAAAATACAGTGCAATTCCCTACTCACTGTGACGACTCTGGCAACACACAGTTTTCAAAGTGAAATACAAGCGGGGCCTGATTCCATCGTTCTCTTAGAGTACAAGGAGACTATGTGATCAAGTCATGTGGGAAACCAAGAGTAATACAAGCATTTAAGTAACACAAGCTGGTTCCCCTGGTTCCAGAACCATCACAAGTCTAAAACCTGAGCCAAGACTTCAAGAATTGCACCATAGGCCACAACTAGGCTGAATTATAGCATTCAATTGGTATGCTGGCTTAGTTTATTGTCTTTGATGAAAACCAAATATAACTCCTCTTCAGCTTAACACAGTAATGCCAACTGTCACAAAACCATCGCAATACTCAGGATTTCAAATTCAAAATAACTCCAACTCTCAATCTCCCAATCCAACCCCCACATCTCTGGATTTTCCCAGCTAATAAGTGGAGGGAAAGGGGCGGGGGGAGAGGGAAGGGGCGGGGCGGGGGAAGGATCGAGGGCCCCGTGGTGCAGGACGGAGTAGGACAGGAGCAGGAGCTGGGGTGAATGGGGCCCCACAGCTGGGGTGGGTCATCCAGAGGTGCCGGGGGGGGGACGGCTGCCCACTGAAGCACACAGCCCCAGGGAAGGCATTGTCCCCTGCTGCTGGGTGGGCAGGGGATGTGCCGCATGGTCAGTGCCCCCGCATACCCTGCCCGCCCAGTGGGTGGCAATGGCATCACACAGCTGAGCTCCTGGGGCAAGGCAGCAGGCCGCAGAGCCGCAGCCTGCAACAGGCAGCCCACCTCTGCCCTGCGGGGGGCACATGCCCCTATGTCTCCCCCAGGGATGTGCACTGCTGTGGGGAGCTATGCCCCTGCCTGGCTCTGCTGGATGACTTGCCCCAGCGCCCCATTCATCCCTGCCCCTGTCCCACTCCCTCCCTCACCACGGGGGCCTTGATTTCCCCCTTCTCACACCCCTTTCCCTGCACTTACCAGCTGGGCACGGTCTGTGTGTCTGTCAGGGTCTCTGTGTCTGTGTCTCTGTCTGCCCCTCACTCCCAAGCCACAGTCCACCCAGCCCTGCTGCTGCTTCTCACTCCTGATCCACAGTACCCCACACCCTGCCAGGGTGTGTGCGGACTCCCCCTCTCCAGGCTCCAACCCCCTCCCCCACACACCCACAGCCCCCCACACCTTCACAAATCACCCCTCAACACACACATTTCAAAAATTGCATCTCATGATTTATGTGCCAATCTCTTGATTTTTTAAGAGTTTGTCTCATGATTTTTGGCACAGTGGGGTTGGCAATACTGCAACAGAAGTTAATCTACACACAGCAGACTCAATGGGAAGGGGAAAGAGAAGTGTGCAAACACCAGAAACAAATGTGTCATGACATGATCTTAGAACTGTAAACTTCTCTTTACATTGTTACTCCCTAATCCTGTTCTCACCCAGGTCATTACCTTTAAAATAACATCTAGAGTGACTGCACTAAATTTCAGTGCTCTTACTGATCTGATTCACTGTAAACTCATCCAAACATTGCATTTATCTTATTTGTTTATTTTTGCAAAACTTGTAGGGTGATTTCTGCCTTACTATGAATAGATAGCAATGTTTAAAGTGTTGTAGGTCTTCAACCCTAAATCAGCTGGCAGCCAAGATTGGTGATAAGGTTTTTGTATTTAGTTATAAAGATCAACTGAAGTTCTCAGCAGACATGTTTGCATAAATAATCCATTGCAGACTACTGAGGTGCACATAGTTTTATTCAAGAGAAACATACATCCAACCCTAATCATTTAAACTAAATTTGAAGAAATAAAGTGTTTCATTGCCACTAGATGGCAGCATATTACTTGCTATATGAAGGGAAAGCAACTTTAAACCACCAGAAGAGTAAAGGTAGTAAACTTTTTTGCAAAAGAAAGTAGGTTTGATATTTTTCTGACCAAAATTCAGTATGTATTTTTAGGAAAATGTAATCCACTTCTAGAATGAAATAAGATTAAGGAGACCTTATAGGACAAAAACAAGGAATGAAGCTATAAGTATTTTCATCTGTGCCACTAAATTGCATGATCTTTTTGCAGATGAACAAACACACTGGAAAAATATGCAAAACAGATCTTGTGTTGAAAGTCACAAGCTACAAGTAAACTAACTCACAATTCTTTCATAACATCTCCTTTCTTTTTCCTTAAAAATCTCTAAAAATGTGATCTTAAATCCTCAATTCTGTGTTTGTTTTTCTTTGCAATTTACTTGCATTTTAATTTGGTCAACAGTTCAGGAAAAGGCAGTATCAGCCAAATGTTAAGAATAATATATCAGTTTATAGTATCGTTAAGATGGTCTTTTGTATGTGCTGTGTCCTTTAGTGCGTCTTTAGAATTGCAGTATTTTAGTTACCATTGCAATTTAAAATTTTTTTTTAGGAATCAAATAAATCATTAAAGGAGCTTTTCTATTGATTTTGACGATGGACACAATTCCACCTTAAAAATAATTGCTATCTTAGAAGTAGATTCCTTTTTTAAAAAACCTAGAGTGTAAACTGTTTAAAGTAGCAACCATTTTTTCCCTTCTATGTCTAGAGGAGGGATGGGCAATTATTTGGGCCCATATAAGTTTTAGTGAGCTGTCATGGGCCGGGTCAGCACCCCCACCCCCTTCTCCTGCACCAACTCACCAAAACTTCCTACATGGGATTGGCCCATGGGTGCGGAGCAATATTTGAGAGCTGGACAGGCAGGCAGGGCCAAGGAGACCCCAGGATTGGGATAGTAACAGTGCAGGGCTGGGGCCTGGGGCAGAGCCATAATCTACTACCTACAAATCCCTGCGATGGGCATGGGTTCCGCAGGCAAGTGTGGAGAATGGATCTTGGCTCTGCCCCCAGACTCAGCTCCACACCGTCACCATCAATGGATCTTGGCCCCAGCCCTGCATGCAGCTTCTCACCTGCCTGTCCATCCTGGGATCGCAGGGCCATGACACCGAGGGAGAGCAGAGCCCCTGTTCTGTGGACAGGGACATGCAGTAAGTGGGATCCTGGCTCTGCCTCAGCCCCACACTGTCATGACCCTATGATCCTGGGGTCTCCATTGACACCAGCTGGGAGCTGTGCAGTTAGGGTGCATGGCCAACAGCTGGACATGGCTCTGGCTGGCCAGGCTTCAGTTTTGGGCAGCAGACACTGCTGCCACGTGTCACACACACACCCTTTTTTTTTCTGGTGCAGGTTGACTGCTTTGCTTATCCTCTTTGATCTCTTCAATTTACCTTTGCCTCTCTTAGCAGTGCCCTTTCCTTTCCTCCTCCTTTCCCTATCCTTTGTGTTGAAATAACCATATTCCTGCTCTCTACAATCCATTCATAGCACTTGACCAAGTAGGCTGTAGCCTGTGAAAGCTCATGCATCTCTGAATGAGTTAGTCTATAAGGGCATCTTTACATGTGCTCTGGGGTGGGAGGGGACACTTTAATTAGAGCAGCTCTCGGGAGTTGCTCTAATTAAAGTGCCCACAGCGTCTTGTATATTCAGTGTCTCGCACTTCAAAGTGGTGGCATGGGTGCTTTAACTAAAGCTTGATCAACGAGCTTTAGTTAAACTGCCCCTGCTGCCATTTTGAAGTGCAGGGACACTGAATACATGAGACACCAAGGCTTCTGGAGTGTGCTAATTAACATACGTTGGAGCAGGTATAGGGCAATGGGCATGTGTGTAGGTGCCCTGACTTGCCACATTGCCCTGCCTGCTGCCTAACTTCAGACTAACAGGCTAACTACCTTTTTCTTTAATTTGTTATTTAGGGTTTTCACAACTCACAAGTGTGCCCCTGCAATGCTTATACTGGAGGATACATGGAAAATGGAATGATTAGAAGGATTATTTTATTTACAAGATTCACTGTGAGCTATTTTATCTAACAATCTGTTTTGTAAGATAAAATTGTTTTTAAACCACACAAGTGCAGATGAAAGCTGTTGAATCTAATAAGCTTATTGTTATTAGGATATTTCAACACCTTTTAAAAACCAATAATCTCTCTGGGGTTTAGATTTAATAAGCCAAGTTACAGCCCAGGAGCTTTACTACCCTTTTCCATAAACCCTTGTAAATAAGATTTTACACTCTAAGACTTCTGACAGAACCTACAGCAGTGATTTTACATGACTGTGGATTTCAAATCATTCTTAGTTACTGCTAAACCAATGATCCTCCCCTTTTCTTGTTCAGAGCCTAATGAAATGTGGATGTCCACAAGCTTTGAATTAATTGGAACCCACAATGTATGAAGGATAGACAGTAGGGGTTCAGTATATATTCAATGTATTTTACTTGTTTA